ATGTAAAGCTTCAAAAGCATGAATCAAGAATGCCCTTAATTACATCCTTATACTTGCAAATATAATCTGACAGCTAAGCACATGTTCAAGCATCAATTATCAATCAAATGCCCATTAGCAGTCATTAAGCACAGGCTCTAGCTAAAACATCGAAGAACTTTTTGCAACAAGTCAAAAAAGGTAATAGCTGTCGGTCAAAAGGATAGTTATAAATTTATGTCTGATCTTCCCATATTACACCAAAACACTCCTAGGAAACAATATCAAAGAGAGGGTATTTGTCCTTAACAAGAATGCATGGGTAGCATTTCCAATGCACGTCTTAAAGAACTCGCCAAAATCATGATGGCAAAGCATATCCTCCATAATTTTCATTTTTAACCTTCATCACTTCAAGGTTTTTGGTCAATGCCTCTACACAGACAATCCTCTACATTAAAATTATCCATATTGAACAAGCTACTATAATATGTGGATCACAGGCTTCAGTTGAGAAATATAAATCTCGCTTACATTTACACACCTCCGATGCTTATCAAATCTTACAATTAAATACCATTAAGGATGCATCTACCGATTTAAAAATGGAAAGTAAGAGACAGAAGAAACTAGTGATCAAATAAAAGAAAATATACTCATGCAACATACACAAAACTGCACAAAATGCTATGGCCTTCCATGATAGTGTTGATCTATAAGTCAAATGAAACTCTTTACATATAAAAAATGGATAACATGACATAGTTAATAGATTACACTGAGATCAACTTAGACTAAGAGAATCCAACAATTACTGAAATGCTAAATCAAATTCCTTATATCAATAAAGGACACCTTCATCACATTAAAATTTTTTTTTCCCCTTCTTCCTTTGTCTTTCAAAGTTTTCCATTTAAAATTTTAAGTTTTCTTTTGAGCTTCATTAAGAATTCTTTTAGCAAACCCAGTTTCATAATTCCATACTAAAAACTAAAGCTTGAACCTTCGAATTATAAATTCCACACATAAAGCAACAAAACTTAGATCTTTAAGCACCAAACCAATCAAGCAATAACAAAAGAAAATAGAAATGAAACAAAAAACGCATACCAGCCTTGTAAGAAAGAGAAACAGCCAGCATCAGATTGATTCTGGTAATGGTGATGCTCATAGTGGTGGCAGTGTTGATATTGAGGATGACCTGGAGGTGGTGGCGGCGGAGGTGGTGGATACCCTTCTGCAAAATACCCTTGGTACCCCTCGTACGGCTGTCCTGGCCGCTGAGGATACGGGGGATATCCTGGTGGTGGCGGCGGCGGCGGATAGCCTTCGTAAGGTGGCAGAGTCGGCGGCGGTGGTGGTGCTGATGGGTACCCTGGAGGGGGTGGTGCTGAATAAGGAGAGGCGTACCCTGTTGTTTCACGTAGCAAAATTCAACGAAAAAACAAAATTAAAAAAATCAAATAACGAAATTCAGAAACGGAAGATATTCAAAGATTGGAAAGAGATGTTTCATTACCAGGTGGAGGATAAGGGTCTTGAGGAACTCTCTGGTAACTCATGTTGATGATGGTGGTTTTTTCCCTTTGTTCGTGGGTTTTCCTGTCTGCCCCCCAATCCGAGATGGAACACTCTGATATTTTAGTCAGACAAAGTTTCCCCCTGGGAAGGGGAGTATGGGTTTTGATGGCCATGCCAGCCTGTCTCCAATCATACCCTGCCACATCACCATAATGGAGTAATTTGCTTTATAATTATAACCAATTTTTTTTTTAAAGTAAAGAGTTGTTATCTTATATATGCGACAAGAACTAAACTTAAATCAATAGAATTTGCCCACAAAAAACACCACTTGGTCAAATGAATCCAACTCAATTGTACGTTTATCAACAAGTAAAAACTTAAGACATCAGTTTTTCCTTTTTAGTCATCCATTTGGCGGAAAAAAATAGAGGAAAATATTGTTATTTGGGAACTTTCATCTTCCAGGATGGGCCTTGTGGAATCTAAACGACAGGCCAAACCCAACAAGGTTGATAGTAGAACATGAAGGCCGCTGAAAGGCCGAAACTGGAAAAATACCAACGAGCGTAGTCAGACATTAATGTGGACCTCTAGAAGCTAAATCTCTGTTGCAGGGTAGCAGTCGCAACTGAAATGCTTTTTCAACATGAATTAAAAAATGGTTAGTAAAGTTTAACGACGAAGGAAGCCAGTCGAAGGGACGCGGCTAAGCAACCAAGATGAATGATTTCATTGAACGTGTCTTCCCTGCAGCAAGTCAAAGGTTTCGCTTTCACACACCCCAACCCCCCACAAAAGAAAATATCAATTTTCTTGTGCCTCTAGAACTGTTAAGGAACCAATGCACGAACCTTGGCTACCTTTTTTCTCATTTATAAGCAACGGTCTCTTCCAAACGCTGCAATATTCACAGCTAAATTGAAGCAGAAACCAGGCAAAAACGTCTTAGTTTGTGTTGATATTCTGATATAAAAAATGAATAGCAGCAGCAAAGAATCACAGCCCCATTACCCCTCTATCTCCCCTCCCACTGAAGAAGACACAAACCCTTTCCATCAAACAATCGCTCAAGAAAAACAGCCACAGATGCAATCTGCAGCTGCATCATCATCATCATCACCATCGCCTCCCCCTCCTCCACCAGCGTCTGATCCGAATTCTGAGAAGTGGGGGACTCATATCATGGGAGTACCGGCTGTTCCAACATGCCATCCGGACAACAAGAAGGCAGCCTTGTGGGGTGCCGGTGACCAGGCTCAGTACCACCATCACCCATATGTCCAATACTCCCCTATAGAAAAGTCAAGCAATAGCCCCATGGAATCCATTCTTCAAGTGTTCAACTCCTGGGGCCACAAAACTGAGACCTTGGCCAACAATATCTGGCACAATTGTATGTTCAAAATTCTCTCAGATTTCCCTAAGATCTAGTTTTAAATTTCCCTGCTAACATTGCTGTTGTTGTTCTAATTAAACAGTGAGAACTGGATCATCTGTATCTGGTACTGCCTGGGGGAAGATGAACGTGCAAGCAAAAGCACTAACAGGAGGCGGATTCGAATCCCTTTACAAGCAAACATTTGCGACTTTTCCAAATGAGAAGCTGAAGAAGTCATTCGCCTGCTATTTGTCCACTTCAACCGGACCAGTTGCTGGGACTCTTTATCTATCCACTATTCATGTCGCTTTCTGCAGTGATCGCCCCTTGTCCTTCACGGCACCTTCAGGCCAGGAAACCTGGAGCTATTACAAGGTAAAATCATTAACCTCTTAGCTTTAAACAATAAAACTTTTTTCAATTATATAACCCTTTCTTTGCCCTTATGTTAGATTGATGGGACTAAATAATTTGCCTTGGGAAATTCCAGGTAATGGTACCTTTGAGCAAAGTTGGCATCATCAACCCAGTGATCATGAGGGAGAATCCGTCAGAGAAATATATCCAGATTGTTACAGTGGATGGACATGATTTCTGGTACATGGGTTTTGTTAATTATGAGAAAGCCTCCAAGCATCTCTCTGAGAGTCTTTCCAATTTTGTAGCATCTGGGATTGCTGTTCAACCTGCACCTGTTGCATAAACAGAGGACTACATTTACAGGATTCTTCATATTTGAGAGTTTTTCTTTTTTTATTTAAATTTCAGTTGGATTTCATCATCCGTTTCAGCTGTATCGGACTTGTTCGCTTGTACTATTTTTGTAAAATATAATGAAACATCTCTTATTCTCATCCTTGCTCATGTGGGGACAAAAGGAAAACACAAAAACTCACTACCCGCCGTTGCCGGGGATCGAACCCGGGTCGTCCGCGTGACAGGCGGAAATACTTACCACTATACTACAACGACTGGTTGACATTCAACAGTTGTTCGTTTCCACTTCATTATATTTTTTTGTCTCCAAAGTGACATTAATTTATGCATAGGTGGAGTTAGTAGAGTACCAAAAAGTGCGATAAAAAATACGTCACATTGTCAATTCAAAAATCTAAAATCAAAATATATTATACATTTGTTTTTTAATGGTACAAATTCCTAACTTTTTTTCCCTCTCTTTGATATCTTTTTCTATGATATGCATATGCACATGTTATGAAATCTTATATTAAGGAGAAGGAAGGTTCTTGGATTTATAAACATGGACATCACACATCTCAATAGATTAGTTTTTCAGAGATAAGGTAATGATCTCATAACAACGTAAAGTCAAAATCAATTTAGACTCAACTTTGATATCATGTTAAGTGCTCTAATAGATTGTAAGCATGGTGACTCGACCTATAGAGGCATCGTGGATTTAGGTGGAAAAAGATATTACGAAATCTCATATAAGATAAGTAAAGAAGAAGTCTTGAACTTATAAATGTGGAAGTTACACATCTCATTAAATTAATCGTTTGGAGAGCATGTATGTGTTGCACTTTGATTTTTCTAAAAAAAAATTACTAAAAGATATCATCTTGTGTATTTACAAATGAAGTAAAGGCCTATTGATAAGCTAATAACCCTTGTCTAGATAGAATTTACAAGATTAAAATAATACTAAAGAATTAGATTTGGATGGATTTAATCCTAATTTTAATTCATTCTAATATAAATCTAAAGCTAGATATACATAATTAAATATCATATTACACTGTTTTTGTCTAGATTGTTGCACTACGTGACTTGGTCTGAACTTTTTAGGTCATAACATAATGAACATTCACACATATATTCATAACATTCCTATTTGAATATCCATTATATCAAGAATATGCCTTATTAAAACTTTATTAGGAAAAAATCTCAAATGAAAAAATTCGAGTGAAGGAAAAAGAGTACATAATTCTTTTCAAGAATATACTTTTGAAATACTACCTCATTAAAAATCTTATCAAAAGAAACCTTGTGGGAAAAAACTTGATGAAGGAAAAGAGTATAGTGCGCGTTTTACTCCCTCTGATGACTGCATTATTTAAAATCTTTGAAGCAGTACATTTTAATATTTTTATCAACTTTTTAAATGTTGCAATAAGAAGGGCTTTGGTGAATAAATCTACTAGATTGTCACTTGAACGAATTTCTTAAACACCAATATCACTTTTTTCTTGGAGAGCATGAGTAAAGAAGAATTTTGGCAAAATATGTTTTGTTATATTGCCTTGAAGATATCCTTCATTTAATTGTGTTATACAAATGGTATTATCCTCATATAATGTTGTTGAAATTTCTTTTTCAGTTGACAAGACACACATTTCTCAAATATGTAGAGTTATAGATTTTAATTAGATACATTCATGACTAACCTTATGAATTATTAAAATTTCTATAAAGTTAGAAGAAGTAGTTGTAGAGGGTTCTTTTGGTAGGAAGAGAAGACGTGTTGCAATAAGTGAATAAGAATGTGCTAGAGGCGATAGAGAGGAAGGTTGAAGTAGTGTTTGAAGCGTAAGTACTTTGGTGGCAAGTTGTGAGGGATAAGAAATGGTGGCGGAAGCAACGAATTATAGCGAATGGGAAAAGTTGAATAGAAAAAATATTTATAGGCGTCTTGAGAGAGTTTTCAAGATAATCTCTGCTGAGTTTCTAATGATTTCTCCTCTTTCCCAACCTTTAAGGCTCTCCTATTTATACTGTACAGAAGCACTTTCTTAGGAGTAGTTGGGGAGAACACGTTTAATTATGGGAAGACATGCTTGTCATGGAAAAGCAGTTAAAGAATGACTTATGGCATATTAAGAGAATGATCATGTAGTTAGGTAGTGGGCGTAAGTTTTCGGTAATGGAGTAGTGACACTTGATAGTATGCCATATGTATTCTAAAATAAGGAAGAAAGAACAAAAGGGGAAAGCGCATGTACTTCAAGGAAAGGTTAAGACGAAGTTTTTTTAATTATTTTCATATTTGATCTACCAAGTCAAGCTCTCTAGAACATCTCAAATGTGAAGTTAACTTATGAACCCTGTCACTCATTTTGAGTTATTTTCACTTTCCTGTATAAACTATTATTCCATGCTTGCTCTTTGGTGCTTCTACACTTGGAATGCCCTTAAGTACTTCCGTGCTTGGAATGCCCCTAGGCGATTTCGCACTTGGAACACCCTTAGATGCTTTTGTGCTTGGGTGTTTCCGTGCATAGATCACTTTTGGGCATTTTTAGGTTTTTGTGCTGGAACACCGTTGATGTAATTTTTTCTGTAACACAGTATTTCAAAAATAATAGTTAGTCAAAATTGGACATCTACATTTTGCCCCATACATACAAGTTTTTATGAGGAGTTCTATGCATGAGATAAAAGATGTACATAGTAATAAGCTAGACAACGCTTATGTGTGTGTGTATATTATTTTTTACTTTTGTTTTTTAAAGAAAAAAAATAGCTTGCAAATTTATACATTTATTATTATTATTATTATATGCACTTAGGAATGCCTTTTGGCTCTTTCGGGCTTGGAAAGCCTTGGGATGTTTCCACGCTTGGAGTATCCTTAAATTGAATTTTTTTAAGCATGATAATAAGAATAAGATAGCTTTGTTAAGAAAATTTAAAGTGTTATACTCATACAAGGAAAATAATTCTTTAAAGTCTACTGGGAACACCCTTGGGCAATTTTGTTCTTGGAACAACTCTAGATGCTTCTACGTTTGGAACACCTCTAAATGCTTCCACTCTGGAATACCCCTAAAAACACTTAGGATAATTTTATTTTAGCCTTTTAATGAAACTTTTATTATTACAAATAATAATAGTAAAAGACAAGGCAAAACATGAGCAATTGCTCTAGAGCCTTTAGACCATTAAATTATTCTTATCGACATAGCTTTCAAGTTTAAGTAGTACAAGCAATAAAGCTATGACCAGTGAATGGAAAAAAAGCAAAAGGTCTGTCGAGGTGAAGCGCAAAAAACTATAGACAAAATTTACAATTTTTAATGGGTATTTTCTACTAACTTTAATCACCATAAATTAAATGCCTGCAGCCAATTTGTGTGCTTTTGTTGAAACGTTCATCTACATTTAGTTTTTCTTTATTAAAATTCAAATGTACACAAAAGCTACCATATCCAACAGAGAAGCCAATTTTGACCAGACGGCCACAAATTGCTGAATAAGGCATTGGAAAGAATCATGTTGCATTGAACGTTGAAGACATTCTTATGCTTTGATTATATGAGACAAAGCCTTTTACCTAAACACCTATGGAAAAAGAGTATTGGCTGCATTAGTAAGTTAGTATCCTGGTGGGACACTTGTTAACAATTTCTTTACTTAAAATTATTGCTAATAAAGCTTTTGATATGAATTTTAATTTTAAAATTTTATTGCATTAGAAGTTAAAGGGCACATATCTGTGAATATGAGGAACTTTTTTAAGTTTCAAGATTTCTTGGATTTGGATATCTATTATTGCTTCTTTGTTATGCCATATAAGGGAAGACGTCTAAGGTCTATAATTTTCTATTACTTGGTAAAAGTTAAAGGGCATTTAAAAAAAGAAAAAAAAAGTGCACTAACAAACGAAAAAGTTCTATCTGTCCAAAATCCATCGTGTAAATAGTTCATAAGTAATAAGTAATTACCAAAGATATCCAAAGTTCTGATTCACTTTTAAAGGCATCAGCTAGTTCTATGCTACATCTTTAACATTTTGAAGATTGCTTTCACAAACTTTCTTCAAACTTTCTATTTGTTTTTTGAGTATGATAATATGAAGAGTTCAAGATAGGAGAGAGAAGTAGAGATATTTGTGGAAACAATAATGAGATGCAGAAAAGCATTTGATAAGAAAATTTAAAGTGTTAGATTCCTATTAGGAAAATAATTCTCCAAAGTCTATAAATATGATAGAGTAATTTTGTAGAAATTCACAATCAATTTTTTTATAATTTCTCTCTAAGGTTTCTTTGAACAAGTAAATTCTCTTTACAATAATATTGTGTTGTGTTTTTTCTAAACTGTTTGTTTTAATAATAATAATAATAATAATAATAATAATTATTATTATTATTATTATTATTATTATTTTATTTCATTTGTTATGACTCATCTTTCATAGGGAAGAAAGAAAAGAAAAAAAAATTATCATTGCTTGCCTGTTTGGAACGCCCAAAACACTTAGTATAATTTGCCCATTGTAGGAAAATTTTATTATTGAAAATAAAAATTTCATGCATAATAAATGTAGATTTGGTTTACTATCAGATTGTGGGAATAATGTATACATTATATATAAATCTCGAATTGCATGTAAATGTTTAACTTTGGGATGTAGATAAAGGAAAAAGTTATCACTTTAATGCTTTTTACGTCATAAGATTGTAATTATTTAATAATTTTGTTCAATATTTTAAGAGATTTAAGCTAAATGAAAGATTAATATGAAAAATAGAAAAGGTAAAAGTCTAGGTGTTACTAGAAATGAAAGAGGACATGGTTTTGATCCAAAGGAAAGGTAAACGTTTGGCTCATGACAACTTTGTAAGCCTTTGAATATAATAATGCTTGCTTTTCCATTTGTCATGTAAGCCTTTGAAAGCTTCAACAATTTTTATTTTCTTATGCTTTTTTTTGTATGCCTAATGATTTATTTATATATATTTTTATTTGTTTACCTATCATAAAGATAGGAATAAACAACCAAATATAGGACAAAGCTAAGAACAAATAAATAAACACGGAATATTAATAAGCAGGAATGATAATGCATGGATACTTATCTTGTTGTCTTTGTCTTTCATGCTTGTAG